TGACTGAAGAGCACATTTTCAGAAACAGTCAGGCTAATACTGTCTTGATTATCTTTAGGAAAAACAAACTCTTTGTCTTTGAAAAAAACCCTCTTCCACTGCTGAGGGTATCTTCTTTTAATGCAATAAACCTTATTAAAATATAAAAAGGAATAGATATGAAACATAAAGCCAGGGAAAAAACTATCCTAGAGCAAATTTTGTTCTCCTTCTCTCCCTCCTTGTCCCATGAGAATAAAGAATTGAACTAGAGACTTTATAAAGTCTAAGAGGGATTTGGCTGCTGATTTTATAGGGAAGGTTTCAGCTACTCTGGAGGTAGGTGAAAAATGCAAAAACCCCATATGTGGATATAGGCTTGGAAACAACTGCCTCCTGTTGAAATGCAGCAATGCTGCCACTCTATCAAATTAAAATTACTTTATCAGTAAAATAAGTAGTGTAATGCAACAGGCTTCACTGGAGAAAAAATGGATAAGAAATTAATTGGGGCTGTATTTGAAGCTTTACATTAAAGTCACCAACAGTCATCTTTCAACTGCGATTTATCACTTATAAAGAAGGACTTGTGGAAATAAAATATTTGGTATGATGTATCATTTATCAAATATCTTAAGAAGCACATTTTAGAAATATGCAAGTGGTGGACTTCAGCTGGGAAATGTATGCTCTGAAATAGCACACAGGTCACCATTCAATTGGCTTCTAAATAATTTCCTTTTACCTCCTGGAGCACTGTACAAGATAAAGTGTTTGGAATTTAGAACCATTTTAATAATAATGCTGTTGCAGTCTACTGAAAGATTTGATGAACTCTGTGCAAACATTCCAAAGCACTTTCAGACAGATAAAGAAATTTAAATCTGGAGAAGGTCTAGGTTGTCTAAATCCTGTTTGCATTATAGCTCTGGACACGTATATTTTTAATTAATATCAAGCAGAAAGACTTGTGGTGTAAATCATTTGGGTTGCTTTAATTTCTTAGTTTAAAATTTACTCCTGAATTCAAAGTATCAAAACTATCATACAAAACCAGCATTCAGCACATTGTGTTTATCACACAGCAGTCAATCATGAGACAAACTTCCTACAGATAATTATGCAACAAAATCATCATGGAAGTTTTTCCTAACCTTTGCCCACTCTGAACTGACCCTATAGCATGACCCTACATTGCTGATGTTATTTTTAATAGCCTCCATTGTTGCAGCTTTGGGTGTTTTCATTACTCATATATAATTCTGCAAATATCCATTCCCTGTTTGGAAATCTTTTCAACTCTCAGCCTAGTGATATCCTGTATCAGTGAGCTCTACGACTGAGTCATGCATTGTAAAGAATGAAATTTGACCTGCATTGTTTTCAGTAGCAGTTTGTATTGAAATAACTGTCCCTTCGTAAAAGGCAAGCACATCCTTTGCTGTTTCATTAAGTCAGCACTGCTAGGCATTCTTCAGATAAAAATAAAGATGATGTCGATGGTGAAGGGGCCCCTTCTGCGAAGAGATTGTAAGGTTTGTAGTTGGGCTGGGAGGTGGGGAGCTCTAGCATGCAAACTGAGAGACTAAAATCTTTGTATCTTCCTCATCTGTTCTGTCTGTTTTGTCTCAATGGGCATAGCTTTTTTTTTTTAAGAAACCTTTCTAGAAAATGGGGCAAGGTACTTTCATAATAAGAGCATTTTACAGAGCATGCTAGAACTGACTGAATCATTGAAATGTGGTGATCCAACTGTGGGACAAAAGAAATAAGAGTGAGAAGAAAATAAGAGGTCACTTTGGCATGTGGCTTTGACAGAGCAAGAAAGACCAGAGAGGATGGGAGCATATGAGGAGGTATTTATGTGCAAGAGGGTGGAAATGGAAATAAGTCTCTGAGTTGCTTCAGGTGGCTGTAACCAGTTATCTCTGACACCAGAAATCTACCTGCAGTGGCTGGATTGACCACCACTTAGGGCTGTAGCCCTGGACCTACTACCTGAGTTTGGTCACACTTGCTACTGAAGTAACTTTTGGCCCATCATTTCCTTTTGCTTCTGTTCCTAGCTTGTAAACTGAAAACTCTACCCAGTCAGGCTGATGCAGTCAAACCAAATTTGTGAACTTAGAGATAATTCGTATTTGAAAGAGAAACTCGTTATGAATAGGGGTTCTTTTGTTGTAATCGTCTTTGCTTACTAAAGAATGCACAAAGGTATGCACTTTCTCAAGCACGAGAAGGATCAGGTGAATACAGATGATTTCTCACTTCATCTTTCAAAGTGTCTTTAGAGTCAAAAGTTCACCAAACCTCTCCGATTTCCCGGGGTTTAAGCTCTGTGTTAATTTCTTTCTGATCTCTTTCAATTCTGTATGTGACCTTTTATTTATCTCAGGATACTCTCTGAGATTTATCCTGAAATGATTTTCATCCTCCTTCCAGTTTTCGAAAGGGTTTGGATTGGGTCCGTACTGTTTTCCAAAAGAATAATAATGGAATTTTACCTAACATAATGCCCTCCAAATGTGCATTAGATGGAACTGTGGTTCAAAGAGTATCACAGCTTATAACCTGTATCTCTTAATTTCTCCACTTGTAAGCTTTTAAAAATGCTTTTACAAATATATTATTTGTTTGGGGTTTGCTTTATGTGAAAAGAAAATTAGAGAGTAATCCATTCTTTCCTAAAACTCCCCAAATTTCAACTTTTGAATATTTACGTCTTGGAATTTACATAAGTGTGCTTTCTAGGCTTTATGTTAGTATATAGCTTCCACTTAATAGTTTGCTGCAATGAAGAGTTGTACATTTGACAAGTTTTTTTGTAATAGAGTTTTGCATCTCAATGGTCTTTGTTCATTCTTCAGGATATATTTTTGTATATCCTTCTTGAAAAATCACTAGGATGAAGGAACTGACAGATGACTCCATTTGTACACCATTTTTTCCCCATCTTTCTGCAAAAATTAAAGGAAAGGTCACCCATAGGTGACAGCAAACTCTTGAAAACTGAAAATGCAGTCCACCCAATGTATGCAATTAAGTATACAATGTTGACAGCAAATATGCAAAAGTAACAATATAAAAAAATCTAAACCCAATCAAATCTCAGAAAAACCATGATATCTTTCTGAGAGCTGCAAAAGAGCTATCTAACGTGGGTGGTGATTAGATGAGGAGAAAGCCTCCAGCCTGAGGACAGCTGAGGATTCCCCAGTAGTTTACCCTTGAACTTACTTTGCCTTAGTAAGTAGCTGATCTCCTTCCCTAACTGACATCTCTGCTTCGTGTCTAATTACTGCACCCCGTCATCAGCCACGAGAACTGTCGAATGTTCTCAAATGCCTCCCACCTTTGCAGAATCGGAAGGGCCATATGTGTGCGTTCATATCAATGCTCTGAAACTGGAAATCAAAGATGAAACAGTGACTTGTCACACACATCTCTGTGGGAGCTGGTGGGAGCTGTAATCTGTGCTACGTACTGTTAGGTTCTTAGGACATAAAAACCTTGGTCTGATCTGGTTTATCACTATGAATAGGTTATGCTCCAATGCATTTTGAAGACAAACATAGGAGAATGAGACAGATTTTTCTTTTGACTCCTATATTAGTCATTTATGTATTTATTTTTCTACTAATTTGTTAAATTGCTTAGTTGTTTACCATTACTCTTAAAAATTTATATCCAAGGGAAAAAAGAACAAAACCAAGTCTTTCCTTTTTTCTTTCCCTTTGCAAGCAGGCAGGAGGGCCTTGAGATGTCCACATTCTAATGTTTCTTATCAGCAAAATGTTTCTTATGAAATTAGCAGCAAATGAAATATTTCTAGACTGCCTTATTTCTTTCTCAGAAATAATTCTGACTTGTGCCTGAATAATATTTAAACACATTAATAGTAAGTGCTGTTAATTAGATTTGATCTTTCATACTGTGATTTTCATTAATTACATTCTTACTTTATTTTACACAATTTATGATCTTCTAGACATGGTGGATTAAATAACTACAAAAGAGCACTTGGAGGAAAAAGCCCGTTTTCAGGGCATGCTTGCTTTTATACTTTCTCCTTGAGAATTTTAAGTGCAATTTATTCATTAGATACACAGACGTGGACAAATATCCATATAGTGTAGTAATTGTTGCAGTATGAAATGAATGTCTGTGTTGTGGTCAGAGGCTCTGATCCTATTTTCAGATGCATTGCTTGAATGCTACGGAAACATCAGAGGTGGGGGAGAAGCAATGTGCAGGGTGGGGTTAGCCTCTGCACTGGTGAAAGCAGCTTTTGAGGAACGAGGAGACTGTGGCCAAGGTGTCCAGCAGGTTCTAGCTGAAGCATATGGCTTTCTTGAAGCCAAAACAGTTTGTAGAGAAAATGCCGATGTAAAAAAAACCACTTTATGAAGGAAGAAAACTCTGTGTGTGTGAGACAGAAAGCAGGTGCACAGGTTCGCCAGATCCATCTGTGCCCCAGACCACAAACTAGACCTAGGAAATCCAAGCCTTGCATGTCTGTGTATGTGTTGGATCCACCTGCCCAGGCCTGAGCTATTTGCTTGGGAATTGCTTTGTAGACATCGGAGATGAACAAGCACCTATAAAGAATGAGGTGGATCACCTCCTTGACATGTGTCTTCCTCCCATGGAAAGCAACAGGACTAGCCTTAAGTTGGGGAAGATGAATTGCTTTCCTTCGTGGGTCATCTGTTGGCAAACATAAGAAACTGGTGCTGAAGTCCCTTCTCTGCCTTGAGATCAGAGCTGAGACTTCCTAGTAAGGTTTCACACAGGCTTTTTACATTATTATTTTTTTTTAATAACATCCTGTAGTGAGGCAAAGTAATCAGCCATTCTCAGGTCTTTTTGAAGGGGAGTGGGGTAGAATAAGGAAAAACCCCCACCCAAGCAAACCAAGAAAAGAATCTGCCACAGGATTTTTTTATCCTTTTCCCTCCTCCTTTTTAACAGTAAGGAGATGTTTAGAGGAGTCTCTGGTCAATTCTTACCCTTTGTTGCAGATTGTCCACAGGACCCTTGCAGCCATGCTGGGCTCTTTGGCAGCGTTAGCCACCTTAGCTACTGTTGGGGAGGTAAGTTATCAAACTGCAAGTGCTCACTTTGCTTCTGGGTATGATACCATAAATTTCCGTGTATGCCCTGTTGTGATTGGGCGCATGACAGAGCAGTGTTTTTTTTAAGAGAGAGAGATGGTAGGGCAGATATTGGGATGGGGAAGCATCTTGGGGAAAACAAGTCAGCCTAGGGTATAGACCAGAAGAGTAGAAAAAAGTCAGTTGATGCTATTTTGTTCTGATTTGCAGGAAACTGAGTACAGCCATTTTCAGCTTAATTCAGAGTTACTTTAACACTGTTATTTTCAGTAATGTTAGGTTACCAAGCAAACCTAAATGGAAATACATTGCCTTATACTACCCTAAATAATTACACCTCATGTTTACACCTTCCAATCCTTTTATTTCCCCCCTGCTTACTCTTAGGTGGTATTTAGTGAAACCTCTGAATGATTTTCTATGTTTTTCTCATAACTGGTCACCACATCATTGCTTTGTTCCCTTAAATTCCCTCCAGTTTGTTCACGGGTGGAGTATGCTTTTGTTCTCTTACCAAAAAGGAAACTGGGGTGTACCATATAATTCGGTTATCTTTTATTTCTGTAATGTTACATAAGGAACAACTAGATAAACCAATACCCTAATGTAGGCTTGTGATAATGACCCGCTTAGGATGCCAGCAGTACTTTGAATTAGTAGTAATAATAACAGCAGTAATACTAATAGTACTAGTGGTAATAATAAAGAGTCCTTTTTGTGTACCTTGTAGGAACACTTATTAATTTCAATCATAGCTTATTTAAATGATTCATCAATTAAGTGGAGTTTATATTTCATAGCTAATCATAAGTTAGGTGTTTCGTGGCATTCACTGGCAATTGTGTTTTCTGATTGCAGAGGCCAAGTATGGTCACAGTGGTGGAGTGGATTGATTACGAGACACTGGCGCTGCTGTTTGGAATGGTAACTAAAATGTAGCTTTTGCTCTCAATGTGCTGCAATAATCACATTCAATATAGAGATGTTTCCCTTTTAAACATTTTGTTAATTGCACTTTACTGAGACATGTTATGATGAAAATTTGGGCCTTAAGGGATTTATCAAAAAGGAGGATGATCAGACCTCTGAAGGAGCCTTTTGAAAACATTGAGCCTTTTCTTTTTTTTTTTTTAAGTAAATCTGTGAAATTGTGTTGATAACATACTGAAAGCATCCTTGAGGTCTATAAATGGGAAGACCTGTTTAAGTGCCAAGTATTATCACTCTCATTTATCTTGTTAATTTTGTTTACCCAAAACCTTCCTCAAACACACTCTGCTGGAAAAGTGGTTTTCTTTGTCTTAGTCAGTGCTATGTTTGGAGCCAAAAAAAACCCCAAACCAAAAATGCTCTCCAGAAATGGAGGAGAAATATCTGATTAGATTATAATCATATATTATTTTAATGACTTTGCCCAGAGCTGTTTATGGTAAAAAGAGTTGTCCAAGTGCTATTAAACTCTAACACAAAATATACAATATACAGAGACAAAATTACAATTTTTTGTTGCCATTCTGAGCTTTTCTTATTTTCTGACACTGCTCCCTGTTCCTCACCTTCCCCATAGAAAAAGAAAGCAAAAAAAAAAAAAAAAAAAAATATCTGTTGGGAGCAAAGATGGAAGGACAGGAAACCTCCCAGAAATGTGGGAAAATGCAAGTAACTCTTGGAGCCACTATCGTATGCACTCTGTAGAGCATTACGACAGAAAGCAAACACACTTATTGGCTTTTCTTGATTAATGACATAAGGGAGATACATTGAGTACTTGATGCATGATGACCACTTAGTCACTACAAGTAAAATTCAACTAGGCTAGTATGACATTTACAGACTGCTTATGTTGAGAACTAAATTTCACCATATGACGCATTAACAAGAGATGTCTGGCAGCTCTAGTGGATATCCTATACATGATGGTGATCAGATTCTCAGAGCTGTGTCAGATAAGAAGGACTTTTGTTGGGATCACAAACTACATTGCTTTGGTTTTGTGTAATAATTCAGTTGCAAGCTATTCTCTTTTTCTTCATCTTTTGGTAGATGGTTTTGGTGGCTATATTTTCAGAGACTGGATTCTTTGACTACTGTGCAGTAAAGGTAGGCTTGTTTTGGTACTCTTAATTTCTATTTGATTAATCAAGTTAGTATCTAATCACACCTGTTAGACTAAGCACCATCTTTGAAGAACCTTTCTTAGGGCAGTGTATACTTATCACATTAGAAATGACAGTGGTCAACTTGTAATTTTGAAAAATCTCTTAGGGATGAAAGGAAGCCCATAGGGCAATTCTGCTTCTACAGGAGAAAGGTAAAGCTCCGCAGTAAAGCTGAGTTATACCACTGACTTCCCCGGGACTGTGGTTCTGCTGTAACTGAAACTGTATTTATGCTTCGCAGTGGGAGAGAGGAAATATGGGAAGTATCATTAGTTTTATGATCACACATGAAAAATGGCCACAGACTTTTGCACAGTAGCGGAAACAAAGATTACATGAAAAGGGTAATTCTGATGGATTGGTTGTAAAGCAAGTATTACCCATGGTGAGGGACCCCTTCACCTGCTGCAAATCTTAATTTTCTTGAGAAGGGTGGAAAGAAAGAAAACAAAAGTGACAAGGAGGACTGCTTTAGGCACAGAAACCCTAAGCGAAACACGGGTGGACACAATTCCTGCCTACATAGATGCCCAGACTGTGTAACCCTGGCAGTGCTGCTCCAAGGATGGGGAAGGTGTCCCAGCGTGTCAAGGGCATGGGAGGTGTGAACCACCTCAGTCCACCTGGGCATGCAGGCAGAAGGTGGGAGCCCAGCCCTGCTCCTACCACAGACCTCCTTCATGCCTGGCAGTGGAGCATGGTGTCTCTTCAGACTTGTTTCTTCCTCTGCATGATGGAAATGTTTGCTCACTTCCACGAAATGTTTTCTTGCTAAATTAATTAATATGGGAGAGGACGCTGTTGTAGGTGTATGCAGTAGTACATGCTCTCAGCTCACTGTTGCCTCATCGTTGGTGAAGTCATTTTATCTATCATTTTTTGAAAACTAAGTTAGAGCGATCTAGTCCCTTAATTTTGTTTCTATTTGTTTGGTTTTATTAGGCTTATCGATTCTCTAGGGGCAAGGTGTGGGCCATGATTACGCTTCTGTGCCTCATTGCTGCAATTCTTTCTGCGTTTTTGGACAACGTTACCACTATGCTACTCTTTACTCCAGTAACCATAAGGTATTTTATTGTTATGGTTTTGGACTTGGTCTTTTATAGCCAGCAATCAGTAGTAGACATGTGTGCAAAATGCTTGTTTGGACTTTTTTTTCATCATCTAAATGGAAATCGATGCTTCAAATACTCCTATTGTAGTAGGGTAAAGAGCTAATGTTTTCAAAGGGATCGGTTGCCTTTTCCCTTTGTGTTAATAGTGAGCGCATATCTGAAGCCTGTTACACTGCCTTGGCAGCTAACTATTCTGGTTTGTCTCCATATCTGAACTGCAATAGCATATCGCACCAAATGCTCCCTAGTAGATGAAATCTTTTTCCTGTAAGCAGGGAGAATTTTTTAATTAAAGGTGCCTTGTCCTTTACTGGCTAACATCTGTATACAATTTTAGGTAGTAATTTATGTTTTAGTGAAGTTGTTATCCTTTCTAATACTAGTGACAAATAAATTTAAAAAAAATCTCCTGTTTTGGAATGTGAGGCTCTGAATTTTCTTCCTGCTGGTGATCATGACATTGATACAGCCATTGGTTAATTCCACAATTTGAGATTAGATATTTGGAACTTTTAATAGAGAACAGTGAATTTAATTACTTCATATTTCTGAAAATTAATAACATGTTTTGCAACTACATTTAATTAATGCATGATTATAAATTACTGTTTAACCTGAGTTTAACCTGTCTGGCCAAGCAAATCTTGTTAATCTAGTTGAGTTTCAGAAAGATCTCGTGTGTTTTTAAAATGATCCTGCATGATGTAATGCTTGCAGTCAGTATCACATAAAAGTACACAAAATTCTATTAAAAGATATGCTCCCACTTTAAAATGTAGTGTAAAGCAGTGAAAACCAATTTTGCAAATGGAATTTATTCTAGATTGGGAAACAGCTGGTCAATTAAAGCTCCATTTGTCTTCTGTTCGATTATATTTTAAATAGATCACGTTGCCTTAGTCCAATCAATAATTTCACCGCTAGCAGTAAGCAAGACTGGAACTATTAAACACCAAGTTTTCTTTAGCTGTGTTGTAGAATATTTTGAATTAACTATAACTGGGAATAGATTGAAATCCAGATGTCAATGCAACATGAATTACTGTTCACAGGCAGAGCTACTGTAGCATTTATTTTGTTTTCAAAGAATCATAGAACAGCCCAGGTTGGAAGGGACCTCGAAAGATGATCTGGTCCAACCTTTCATGGGAAAGGGAGCCTAGATGAGATTATTTAGCACCCTGTTCTGTCATGCCTTGAAAACCTCCAGTGGTGGGGACTCTACCATGTCCCTGAGGAGGTTGTTCCAGTCATTAATTGTTCTCACCATAAAAATTTTTTTTCTTATGTTGAGATGAAGTCTCTCCCAAGTGTGACTTGTATTTGCTGCCCCTTGTTTTCTTCATGTGGCTCCTCATGCAGAGAGAGCCTCTGCCTTTGTAGCCACCCTTTAAGTACTGGAGTTTTACATTAAAAGTATAACAAGTATTTTAGTTTTATACTAAATGAGTTTGTAACACTGAAGAAGGTGAAACTCAGTATGCTGGAAACATTTATATTTGAATCACTATCAAAGCTAAAATAAAATTTTACCTTGCCTAGTAAAGCCAAATAATTGCCTATTTCTAAAAGCTTCATGCTGGGGATCACTTTTTTTTTTTTTTTTTAAAATCTTACTGCCATTGTCTTCAGCTCTTGTCTACAGCTTCACTGTGTTGCACTGCGCTGTCATTGCCATGGAGATAAAGCTTGCAGAAAATCCTACTGACTCTATGAATATAAGGATTTATATTTCCATTAATAAGGCGTAAAACATGATACTTGTTTCACTGCATTTTGTAGTAAGATGATAAAAAATTTAATAACAACCCCTTTTTAGCTATAGTTTATTTTCAAGATACTTTGTTATTGTGAACTGGAAAAGGCTAATGGTTGTTCACATGGGGAATTATATAACCAGGGTAAGTAAATGGAAGAAGTTTGATCCCACCATATAGCTGACACATTCTGACAGTTTTATAGTTTGGGTTTGGCCTTTCTTGGCATACGTCAGAGGTTTTTTCTTCAAGCTACTTCTAAGCCCATCAAAAAGAAAGAATCACTAAAGAAAAGTTAAGGTTATATTTTGAAACACTTGGACATCAAGAAGCGATGAAGTCAAAATTGCAAGTACCATTGTGGTTTTGTACCGCGGTTGATACAATTGGGCCAGCTGTACTATGAAGTACCTTTTAAATCCATAATTTTGTGCTGTTGGTGAAATAGTGTATTTTTGCAGTTATTTTGTTCTGAAGCTTTTATGTGCTGACATATGTGTCATCTGACAGTGGTTTTTCTGAGTTTTAAATTGACACTTTTGGCCACAGTGTAAGTCTACCAAGTTAAGCTTTTGTGCAATACACTCTTTTTGAAACACCGCTTTTAATAATACAGACTTAGACTGAATAGTAAAGCTCAACTCTTCCTTCAGAGAAACATGTGACAGCACTACAGCGAAAGTGATCCTGAGACAGTTTTCTTGCTGCCCACTCTTCCCCCCCCATCCTATATTAGGTAGAGGAGGCAATAATTTAAGCGTGGGCTCCATCCTTACACCCGGGAGCAACATTTCAATAAGCCATGACCTGAAAAGCAGTCGTTCTTTATTCCAGAGTCCTTAGGTGTGACCTTGCCTTTCAGCCTTTAATACCACAGCCCAAGTGTAAAGTCACATGTGTACTTCAGAAATGAGCAGATTGTGCGGATCTGTGCGTAAATGTAATTTGTGCGAGGTGAAGTAATCTGCGTGAAGATTACTGTGTGTAAGTGGGCTCTGAGTTGAAATGGATCGTGAGGTTACTGAGTCAATCCCAGTATTTGCCAGAGCACTTTAAGATGCTTCTTATTAAAGAATTTTACTTTTTCTTATTAAAGAAGCATCTTACTAAAGAAGCATTAAATATTTTTGAACTGCTAAAAATATTTTGAGATTTTTTTTTGAATAATGAAGAATGTGTATTTCCTAACCTTGTTGCATTATAAATAGAAATACTCATGATCAAGCTTTAGAGGAGGGGAAAAATAGGAACAGAATAAACGAGATAAACCTAGGCTGAAAGCTGAGGTCACTAAGAGATGATTCATGGCCAAGAGGTTGCCTGCACAATCCTCTACCACTGCTCCCCACGTGAAAGTTAACAACTGATGCTGAGTACAGAGCCTGTGATTGCCCAGAGTAGTTTTCCATAGGTCAGTGTGACCTGTGGACCATGGTTTAAAAAGTTGTATGACACCAAAAATTTGAAATGCTATTTTCTGTGTAGTACAACTCTTGTAATAGTTGATTACTTTTGACAAAATGCTTTTTAAAATGCATCAGTTATGTTACCATTAACTATTGCATTATAAATGTAAAAAAAAAAAAAATCTATCTTTTTTGCATTTATATTGCTATAATTACTGTAACACATGTAAAATTAAAACTTTAACAATATACAAACACACATATATTATGTTTAAAATCCTGCAATTTTTCAGTGGAATGACTGTATTTTGTAAATTTTATAAGTTTTAAGATTTAAGGTAATTTAGTCATAGGGTAAGAGGTTAATTTAATTCTCTCTATACTGCAGGCTCTGCGAAGTACTTAACCTTGATCCTAGGCATGTCCTAATTGCAGAAGTAATCTTCACAAATATTGGGGGGGCTGCCACAGCTGTTGGGGATCCTCCAAATGTGATTATTGTTTCAAAGCAGGAGCTGAGAAAGAAGGTAGGTATTGCAAGCTGCTCGGCTACTAAAATTAAATACTGATGTTGACTTATGCAGCGTTGAACCTTCTCTTCCCCCAGACAGCCATATAAACAGAACAGAATCCACTATTTCTTTCTTAGTAGGATGATGAGGCAGAACAGAGTGATCTTTTGGGGACAAAATTGCAATGAAGAAGAGACTTTTTGATAAGGACCGAGAATACCGGTTTCCGTTATTTTTGGTGTTGGGGGAAGGGTTTCCTTGTCAATGGCAAAGTGAAGAAGGAAGCAAAACAATAAAGGGTTGTAAAGAGAGGGCAGCAAGTTGGAAGAAAAGAAAAATGTGAAAATGAAGATTAAAATTCAAAATTTTTTTTCAGAATAGGCTTTCTCTCAAAAGTTTAATATATTGAGACAATTTGTTTCCTTTTCAGAAATTTCAAACCAGAAATAATTGTCCACACACAAAACCCCCCAACATGAGAGGCGGCGTTGCCCCCACAGAGCAGTGTCATACCCGACCCCACTGCAGGCAGAGACTTTGTCCTTCAGCCGCAGCCCAAGGGGGTGTGGGGGGTGAGAGGAGAGGGGGGCTCCTGCCATGCAGCATGGGATGCAGCTGGCTCCCACCTCCTGCCAACACCGTGGTATCCCCAGGCTGCAGTGGCAGATTTTAACTTCCAACACTTGACTCTTCTATTTATGGATAAAATCTTTTCATTTTGCTGGGTGACCGGTGCTAAAGGGAAGGCTATAGTGGCTGGTGCTGGGTGGGACAGCAGCACTCCAGACGACTGCCAGCGGGACCATGCTGGTCCCACCATCTCCTCCAACCCACATGGCCCTCTCCACTCTGCAGATGGGCAGAGCCACTGCTGGCACGTGTTCACATTTGCAGCCTTCAGCTTCTGCAAAGGAGCTGGCATTTGCAAGAGTTTTCTGTGCTTTCAGCTATCGCTGCCACCCTTGAACAGGAGGACAACAAGTCTCACTTCTGCCTCCAGCGCCGTGCTCCCTGGCATCCCGCAGTCTGTCACCCGTCCCTGGTGTGCGGAGGGCAGCAGGGAGGCAGTCTGCTCAGGATGCAAGGGGCAGCCCCTGCGGGGATGGGGCAGCTCTGCTCTCCTTCTGCCCCTGCACCGCCAGCACCACCAAGCTGCACGATGGAAGGGGTAGTAATGTACCGGGCAAGTCTGTTAGGGACACCAGACATGTGTGTTCTCTTTTGGCCAGATGTCATAAACCCACCAAATCAATACATTTAAAGGAGTTCAATGTAGTGTGTGAGCTAGTGTGAAAATACCTGTGCAAGTGGGATGAGGGAATTGTAGTATGAAAATCTAGATTTTTTTTTTTTTTTAATTTGGAGTCAAGTATGTCTATTTTGCTGTACCAAAAAAGGGTATCTTCTAATTAACTGAACACACTCAAATTAATTAAGTACTGTCCAGGTTGGAAAATGTCTTTGAAAGTTCATAGTATTTAATAATGTTTACCTTCAAAATATTTGAAATGTGCTGCAATTAGTTTGTTTGGATGACGACTTTGGAGACTCTGTAATATTTCTGGCTGAGGATTTGATAGCTAAATTTTACATTTTTAAACATGAATTCTGTGGAACTATTTAAACCTTTTCTAAAAGAGAATAATTAGCACCTGCCATGCAGGTCATTTTCCTAAATACTCAGAAACTCTTCATCTCTGTAGAACCTTTGAGAAGTGGCTATAAACATGGGAAGCAATTAAGCAATCACATTGAAAGGAAACAATTTTACATTTCTGTTGAAGGAGATATTGATAATTTTAGGAGAACTCAGATATATAAATACCCTAGCAAATATAAATACCCTAGCAAATGTGACATTACATGTTTCAAATCATTCTGTATTTGAAACAAGCACAAAAAACTTTCCAAACATTTTTACTCTGTACTATTTTCAGATCTTTTGTTGCATCACAGGAATAAGGACCTAATAAAATAGACTACATTCAGCACAGGACCATGGGACTTGTGCTGCTTCTTTCCTGTGTTCTCATCTGTTATATCTACATACATATAAATAAAAGAATGTCAAAGACCTGTCCTTGGCTCTGAGTCTGAGTGGCATGGACTGGTTTATGTCCTCACCCCCTCTAACAGAGATTTGCCCGGGAAAGCGCTGGCAGGAGCAACTGGATAGAGCCCAGAGTGAGGGCAGGGAGGGAGCTGGACCATCTGGCCTCTCACAGCCTGCGCTGTTGAGTTTATAGTGTGATTCCTAATTTTGTCCGCCTGCTCCAGCATCCTCCCTTTTATTCAGAAGAAACATAGGCATTGTTGTCTTGTTTCTGAAACTACTTCTAGCAAAGGCTGGTGTGCTCAAGAGTTATATGATGAACCCAAATTCTGCCTCCAAAATACATGGGCTGTCTGCTATATTTGTACCAAGTAATTTTTCTTTTTCTTTTCTTTTTTTTTTTTTTTAAAAGAACCAAATGTTTCAGAGGTAAAAATTCTTGAATGCAATAATGGCGTTTTGGAAACTGCACTTCATGCAGTATTTTTTACAGTGTCCATTATGATGTTTTCTACAGAAAATAGCTGGCTTTTTACCTCTTTTAAACATTATGGTCGTGTTTTTGGCTTTCTAGGAGATTTTTCTCCTTGATATTGTCATTGAAATTCCTCTTTTCATCCTCATGCCCTTCTTTTTCAGTGTTTGTTTTGCATAGTAAGTACAGGAGTACTTGGACAAATGCCCCTGTAGGAGTCTGAATAGTGTATTGCACTATCTGGATGGTAGGGTTTTCCATTTTATTAGGTGCCGTCAGGAGGAGAAGTTTAGTTTAAAGAATTTCAGTTCTTCCTGAACTTTTACTGTTGTACATCAGCCTCTAAAAACAGCCTAGTAAGATATTATGCAAGTTTAAAATTTCTTGGGAAACATTGATTTTTAAATCAATATAAAATGAAGTGCAGCCTTGTTACTTTGGGTGCTGTTATTGGGTTATAGCATTAGAAATACTTTACTCTTTGATTACTGTAGGGCTGGAGAGATTTTTCTCCCTAGATTCTGGGGAAAACTCATGTCATATTGAGAATATTTTATTTAAAGTATGTTTGAATAAATAAGCTTTTTGTTACTGTTTACTCATTAAAACGTAGGGATAAGTTTGTTTATTTGTCTTGAGATGCAAATAGATGCCAAAAGGACTTTTGCTTTGTAGCAGTGGTTAATTCATAATGCTGACATTTCCCCTACCATCATGCTTGGAATCAGTGGAACATTTGCATAATAGGAGAGGAAGATTTGTTGTACTCTTGCTTGTTCTCAGTGAGAGTTGGAAGAAGTCTCACAAAATAGCATGTAAGTTGTGATAGTAGGCAAGGAAAATAAGAGTTTTCTTTAAGGGCAAATGGAAAACTCAGTGAATACAATTTTTTAAAAAATTTTTTTTATTACCTTCAGAGTACTGCTACTGTGTGGCCATTGTTCACAAAATTATATTTTTATCTTGAAGAGATATGTGCTTCGGACTTTGGGAACTCCATTTTTATATGCGCAATAGAGCATGAACCATTTCGAAATGGTCATTGCTTTCAGAATGAAACATTAAGTCCTCTGCATTTGGCAACTTGACAGTTGTGCCTTTGAAATCAGAAGTTGCTTGTGCTCTAAGCTTAGGCTTTGATTACAAGATCATTAGAGAATTGGTGGTGAACAGATCTCCAGAGCAAAACGACAGTGTGAACATAGCGTGCACTAGTGTATCTAGCTTTAATCTGTCTAAAAGAGGTAACGATAAGAGCAAAGGCGGTTTTAGCATGTGCTAGCCACTGGATTATAACCTTTTATTTACTGTCTTTGTGATAAAGCTTGTACTGTTAATCTGATGTTTGCTGAGGATTTTGGGTTTTCAACATGCCACTCAGAGTTATTCCTGTCATTTAACAGGAATTCCCAGAAAAATGGACAGCCATCAGATTCTCCTGTTCTGCCTCTCAGGGACTTGCAGCCTTCATGCTGCAGTTTAGCATGGTGTAATATTAGTTGGTTATATTTCATAAAAAAGTGTACCAAACCCTTATAAATAGAAGTAGATAATTCTGAAAAATAGATCCTCTATATGACTTTATAAAGATATTTCAAGCACTGGCACATTGTGAAATGGATTCCTGTAGTTTACTAGGCTATTTTTGGTGAGTTTGCTTGATACAAGGTTGTTAAAACTTTTAATCAATTTGTAAAACTCCTGCCCTTTCTGTCAATGTTTCATTGATTCCTTTTCTCAAGAAAAAAAATAAATCCTAGGCAAGGCATAGGAAATAAAATTTATGGGGTTATGGCTGATTTTTTTCCCCATCTCTGCATGTAGTAATCATTAAATAGTATAGTGCAAGACAAAAAAAGGAGGTTTGTCAGTGTCTCAGATAAGCATTATCTTCATGTAACTGTATTAGATCATCAGTGATTTCTGGCTCAGCGACGTCATGAGCGGTTCCCCCTGAGACAACGTAGATCTCAGTCACTCAGAAGCGATGGTTAAGCCAGTGTAGAGATAATAAATTACTCTTGCTCTTCCTCATTTCATTAGTTTTAAAATACTAAAAGTAAAGGGCATTCTGGCCAGAAGCGCAGTATTTTCTGCTCTTTGAATTGCTGCACCTAGCTATAACTTTTTGCTTTCTCTTTGCTCTAAAATGGCAGATTTCTTCTGGAAAGGTCTGAATTACTAGAAGTTAATTTGACACCTCCAAAAGAAGGAAAAAAAATCAGGATGATAGAAAATTAGTATTTTAGGAGAACAGTATGATACTTCCTCCTAATATGAAACTGATATATTTGACTTTGCATTTAAAGCTATAAAGCAAAGAAAGATGTCCACTCTGCTTCAGCTTTGAATCTATAGGCAGTGGAACCTTTAGGCTGTTGTCTTGCTAAAACAAAGTCTTTAGATTTTCTGTCGACTGGGGAATGGAAGAAATTTAACACAATCAGCATAGCCTCAAGTAAGGGACATTTGAAGCATGTATTGTATTTATCTGATGGATTGAAATCTCCTGGAAGAAAATTATTTCTT